TGTGGGACACTCATTTGGGACACTCTTGCGGGACACTCTTGTGGGACACTCTTGCAGGACACTCTTGTGGGACACTCTTGTGGGACACTCTTGTGGGACACTCTTGTAGGACACTCTTGTGGGACACTCTTGTAGGACACTCTTGTGGGACATGCGGGACACTCTTGCGGGACACGCTTGTAGGACACTCATACGGGACACTCTTGTGGGACACTCTTGCGGGACACTCTTGTGGGACACTCTTGCGGGACACTCTTGTAGGAAACTCTTGTGGGATACTCTTGTAGGACACTCTTGTAGGACACTCTTGCGGGACACTCCTGTAGGGCACACTCTTCGTACGAGACTTCCTCCAAAAGTCACACGTCAAGTCTCCAAAACGAGCGTTTCGTATGAGACTTCCTCCAAAAGTCACATGTCAAGTCCCCAAAACGAGCGTTTCGTACGAGACTTCCTCAAAAACTCACATGTCAAAGTCTGCAAAACGAACGTTTCGCACGAGACTTCCTCCAAAAGTCCATCGGAGCACACACATCATGCAGCCCTGCCGAGCAGTTTCGCGATTCCAGCCCCTCCAAACGACACCCGCTCACACGCCAATCCCAATGTGACAGCGACATTCACCTCTACCACAACTCACAACCTCCCAATTCCCTGCGCCTGCCACGAATCTTTCCGCGTCCACACGTCTAACGCGCACAAAGTACTGCGCCTGCCACGAAATGTCACCTCCGTCACACATCGCAGCCTCACGATTCCCTGCGCCTGCCACGAAAATCCCACTTCCACACCTCAAAACCCGCACAAAGTACTGTGCCTGCCACGAAAAGTAACATTGTCATCTCATGTGAGCTTCAACAAAATTTGCACCACACCACACGTTTAGAATGATTTCGACCCGTTCTGAGCACACTCCCATCCACCAAAATCGCCATTTCAGCTGAGACTTGTCACGAAAACAGAGCTTCGATGCCACACCCTGAAATGCAAATCCCAATGGCACGGCCACATCCAACACCCCAAAAACACGACTCTCCAAACGCTAATCCCAATGGAACTGCGACGCAAACTGCGGATCTCACAAAACGCTGCGCCTGTGCAGCGAAATGCATCACGCTTCTTGCGCGACATGTGTTTTTCACGCAAATCACAATGGACTCGCGTCGCAAACTCACACGTGACACATCCATGCATAGTCACGTGCAAAAGCTTCCCCCAATGCTAGCGCCTTAGCGCTCTACTGCGAACGGTTGCGGACGGTTGCGGACGGTTGCGAACGGTTGCGGACGGTTGCGAACATAGAAGCAACGGGTCGCGAACAAAGCTCTACCCCCAGACCCCCAAGAGTTAAACGAGAACCCTTCGCTACGCATTCGGGAATAATTGCTTTGCTCAGATATTTTGGACAAGTGTCCCTCCAAGACCTGAGCAAGCAAAGGTTTTAGTAATTACAAAGGATTATGTTTTGGCCGCACCTGAAGAAGAGGCAGAGTTCAGGGCTCCAGGTATTATAGATGTAAGTTGTAAGTCGTGTATGCCGGTTCTCGGCCAATTCGTGCCAGCCTGAGCACACTTTCGTGAATTAGTGTTCCTACACATTCCTGTGCTGGCAGCTCAAATATGTTCAACTGATCCACCCCAATCTCTCTGCATCATATGTTGAATTTCTGAAACGCAATGATACGGTGCTTGGAGGGTCTCCCTGTCTCCCTCTTCAAAAAACAATTCTCTCAATGTGGGGATATGTGGGGTATGTTTGACGAACGAGTTCGTCCAACTCCTTCACAGTTGGGCACCTCATCGTCCGGTTCGGCATCCCCAGCCAAATCCTGGCGTCTGACGCTGCCAACTCATCTGCGCCGAATCACTGAGTCTTCATCCTGATTTCACCTGAGTTCCCACTTCTAAACGTCATAATCCATTGGGGAATCCTTCCAAAAGTGCTATTGAAAAGATGATCCTAAAACATACCCATGCAAGGTTCTATATGACACGAGGACCCCGCCTCATTTTATAGCAGAGGAAACGGCCACGGGTATCCTAAAATTCAGCAGTTTGACTCCTTCACCACCAGACAAACCGAGACATCTCATCTCCTCCGCGCGCTTGGCTGCGAAGTGCGTCATCGGCTGATCCAGCGCCACCTGGACCGGAGGTTTCGGCTTTTCCTGTCTGCTTGGTGGCTTCAACTCCAAAAACGGTAGTTTTTGTTGCTCTTAGGTTGGAGGCCATCGCTACTAGGTTGGGGGGTGGGTGAAACCTCATCCCAAGTAAAGGTCTAAAGAATATCCTGCGGTTTCACCCAAACCAGATGTTGTGTTTCAATTTTTCAAGTATTGTACAACAATTAGATGTGCACCCCGAAAGGAAGACTAGGAAGTCGTCTACAAATGGTTTTCATGGTTCTTCACTTCCATGCTAATTTGTCCTCTTTGAGTGCATTCAGCCCTAAGAAAAATGGACCGTCAAAGGTGATCCCGGAAAACCTTGTACCCCAGTGGTGCTCATGTGCAGTAAACTCCCGTGCTGTGCCTGACTGAAAAAATACGGCTCCCGTACCTACTAGTAGCTTGACACTGGAGCCCAGCCGCAGGTCCCTTAAAGCCTTGTGTGGTCCTTTGTTTCGGCGAGGACCACCAAACGGTTGCAGGCTGAGAACCAGTTGGAATTACTCGGATCTTTCCCCCTGTGTAAAAGTTCAGACCTTTGGCTGGTTTTAGGGATGAAAGGGCAAACAGTTGGAACATTCAGGTGTTTCTCAGCTGTGGGACTTCAACCCGGGTACCGGTTGACCACAGAAACTGAACAGAATAGACGACCTATGGGAGGTCTAGTTCGCTACATGGTGGACTGGTCGGGCTCCAGGTTTTAACCCACTTCTCCTTCAGACTCATGGATTTTGGTCAGAGACAAAAGATGTTAGTCACCCTGGCTTTTCACTTGGATAGGCTGAGTCAGGCTTACCTTCCTTGCAACAGCTGCAATGCTGGTGATGTTTGCGCAATAGATGCTTTATCTCAGAAAGGTGTGGGCCCCATCCCTACAGTACCATCACACCCACCATGAAGTCTGTAAATCACCAAATGAGCTCAACAAAAAACACATTAACAAACTAAACACTCAATGTCTCAATTCATCTCAATTCCCAAGATTTGTGGCTCAGATGCCAGACTCGCTGCCTCACGTCGAACGCGTCCAACGCGTCGAACGAGTCGAACGTCCATCGGATCCACTGCCCGGCACCTCCAAGAGCGAGTTCAAGGGCCGCTGTCGCGCGGACACCTGCGCACGGCACGGACCACGGATGCGGACGGCACCGACCACGGCACGGACCACGGGTCGCGGAGAAACACATGCGCCCGATGCGGAAGGATCGGAGTCAGAAGAGTCAAATGGTCGCCATAAGTGGCGAAAGCGTTTGCGTGGTCTTTTTCTCTCGCCGTTTCGTGTGTTTCCTCTCTTTGACCAGTGAGTTCTCATCTTTGAGTGACGAGCTGCTTGAAACTTGAAATTTGCCCTGAACCATGTTGGGGCCCCACATGTCTGGCGCTTGCTACAAGTGTCCCGTCCGAAATCGACTACATCAATCACCCATCAGCCAAATCGTCTGTTTTTCTGGCTGATTCCAGGTTGATGTGAATTACTACTAACATGGGCATCGATACTAGTAACAAGGGCATTACGACTATAAGCTAGAAGCTACTAGTAGCCAGAAGC